GAAAGTGGTTGCATCTGCGCTCAATTCCTTACTACAATTGTTGACTGTGAGTGAGTTCTAATAACACTAGTGGAAAAAATACTTTTAAAATCGATCATTTTTTACTTTTAAAATTGGTTCCCTGACCGATTTTAAAAGAGCCGATTTTAAAAAGTGGGACTTTTAACATCGGTCGTTGACCGATTTTAAAAGTGGGACTTTTAAAATCGATCACTGTTGAATATAACCTGAATATAACCTGCAAATTAATAAAATAGATTTTAATACTACTATTTTCCTAAGTGACTAACTAAACATAAGTTATATCACTCACGATCACTTGTCACTATTTTATATATGTTTAATTTTGAATAGCATGTTATATGTTCTTTTACATAGTATGATCTAGAACATAATTTGAAAGTCAATCTCAAGATCAACCTTCCACAATCCAATTTGTATGATGAGGTATCGTCGCAAGCAATACTACTATTCTCTCATCCTATCAATCTTCCTAGTGAGAATCAATTCATTGGCTTGGCTTGCTTTATTTTGCACTGATGAAGCCGGGAAAGATTGAGTTCAGGCAAGCAAGTACACAAAAAGGCTATTGCTCATTTGTTGCAACTAATGAAGGTTTAGTTGGAGCAATTACTATAGCATTTTGCAATTACAGGTGATTGACTCTTTCCTAATAGAAAATAGAGTATATACACACTTGCTAAGGATAGGAATATCCAATACTTCCTCTTTGGTGAACTACTTGTTGGAGTCAAACACCAGAAACACTTTATGTTAGTCCCTTAGCCTCGTATATAACTTAAGAGGGGGTGAATTAAGTTTTCTAAATTTTCCTCTTATAAAAACTTTTCCAATTACTTTCTTATCACTTTATTTTCTTAGACAAATTTGCATGTAAAGAATGATGATGAAGAACAACTCAAACACAATTAAATAACAAATAAATAAAAGTGTAGGAAAAGAAGAATTGCAAACTTGATTTTATACTGGTTCGGCCAATTCTGCCTACATCCAGTCCTCAAGTCTCCCACTTGAGAATTCCACTACTCTTGTAAACCTTACAAGAAAATGAATCCTCCAACACCTCGAAACTCCCTTTCCTTGTGTTGAGATTCAAACACCAA